TCCTTCCGCGAGATGACGGTCTCGCAGAAGGAGGACACCGCCCTCCACGACCTTTCGTTCCCCACCATGGCCGCAACCACGGCCGGGAGCGAGAGGTCTCCCCCTATCTCTAAACGGAGCGCCCGCCTCTCCCTGGCAAAGGCCGGGCACTCCTCCAACACGTGCTGCACGGAGTCAACCTCCGCGCTGCACTGGTGGCACTCTGTCGTCGCCTCGGCTCCAACTCTCTGCAGGTACCCCTCGAAGCATCCGTGCCCGGTGAGCACCTGCGTGAGCCGGTAGGATAGCCTGCCGTGCCGACGGTCCTGCCATCCATCAAGGACGGGCAGGACCGCGCCCACGGCTCGCTGCCGGGCGGCGCCGCTGTCATACAGCTGGCGCCGCCACTTTTCGCAAGCGTGCCGCCGGCCACCCACCCACATCCATGCTATGCCCGCTCAACCCGTACCATCCGTGCGATACCCGCTCTTCACCCGATGTTCGCTGTTACCCATTGTCTTAGAGAGACGGAAACATAAACCTAATCAGTTGTTTTATTTATATTACAATTATCAACAAAGGGAAAGTAACAAGACTTCCAAGACAATAGATAAACATCAATGATTTTAATGCTGGTATAACGTAAAAATGATATTGCACTGTACACATATGCTGCAAGAGAAATAAAATATTGCAATTAAACATAACTCTAATGTATGACCTATACAACTACAAAATTATAGCTCCGGGCGGGCATAGGCGGGTAGAAATCTATGCAGATCTGCTGGTCCGGTACCAGGTACAGGGATGGGCTCGACTGAATCGAAAGACAGTCGGGTAACAGGCGAGCAGACGCTTGGTATATCCGCCCGTTACAGACCACTATAGTGATCTTGAAAAAATGAAAAGTGTCTAAGAAAACAGAGGTTCTACTATGGTATTTAGGCCTACGCCCACTGAGGAATATAGCACACCGTTGAAAAGCTTATGAGTGGAGGAGTCTAACAGGGGTGATCTCCGCTACCTCAAACGTCCCACTCAGAAGGGTCAGGGCAGTGCTAGGTAAACGTCATCGATTCTCGTATCGATGATGTTATTATTACTGTAGCATTATTATGTATGGGATTAAGTTACTAGATTGAGTTTGGATTTGATTCCGACCGTCTATCTTCTTCTACACATGACACTATCACTACTGCTTCCATCCATTTACTAGGCAGACGAGAATCACGCTAAACTACGAGAGATGCATCTATGCGAATCTTACCTTCCTCCTTGGGCTATGAATATTCGATGGCCTCTTCCTTCTTTCAAACACATAAAACCCAAATAGCACATGACGCCTAATGACGCCTTGAAGACGGCTTAAAGGCGCTTTAGACCTAAAATAGCCGTAAAATGGGCGTTTTGAAGACATCATGTGCTATCTGGGAAAGGGTGGCAGCTTTTGCAAAACAGGTATAAAAGGTCGTAAAATAGTCTATTTTGTGTTATATTAATCATTTATACGTGGGTGATTCAAAGCAGTTGAACCTAGGCAGGTGGCGTTGATATGTGCGATAGGGTGTGCATACTGGGCGCTCTCTCTCTCTCTCAATGACTAAACATGGTAAAGAAACTCCTTCCTCGGGCAAGTCAGACTTGCAGAAGTGAATCAGCGAGCTGGCTCGCTCAGGACGAGGATCTAGATTCCCCACATTCTTACTCTATAGTTTAGAAATTAAGCACAAAAAGCCAAATCGGTCGACTTTGTACCCACGCTATAGAGTAGGATCGTTTCTTCAAGTGACCCAGACCTAATAAGGTCATAGACGGATCCGGAAACGTAGTAAAATGTACTCCGGGTACTGTGTTTCATGTTAAATGGGTAGTTGGGGATCCTTAACCCTACCAGGCCGAAGCCTTGGGCGAGATATCGTTCTCCCGTACTGGAGATGCGATTGGTAAACATTACTATATACTAGATTTCGGTCGCCTATACGTTTGTGCCCGGTCCCACAAATTTCAACCCATATGTTCTGAATGGAACTTTTACCGGAATCGTGGTGAATGTTGTTGGACTTCTCTACTCATAAGCTTTTCAACGGTGTGCCATTTCTCCCGTGGGTGTTGGCCTAAAGACTATAGGATATGTAGCCCCTGTTTTCATTATTTTTCTAGTTATATGCACATTATAAGAAAGTAATTGAAAACAGGTCTCGACAAATCCATGAGGGCGCAACATGCCACCCTTACTGCGGCTCCCATATACTAATACAGGCCTGTCCAACTTGTGGCTCGCGGGCCAAAATCGATAATCGCCCCTAATGGCTTGCTCTTTCAGCCGAGGGGAATGACCCCCGCTCCATATCCACAAGAAGCCTGACGATATAGAGGCAAGAAAGCGTGTGTACATGCTCTGACTGTCCCCACTTCCAACGCTCCAGAAATTCCTACTCGCACTGAGTGATGGTGGGGACCGCGTCGTCTGGCGAAATGACTCGCGGGCCACATGTTGGACAGGCCTGTACTAATACAATACTTTTTTGTAAACCTGACACATCTACGTACACGTATGTAATGTGATATTTTTGTCAGTTTGCTAACTTTATTATGCAGTGTCATACAGACAGAGATTGTGAGCATAACTCACAATTTAATATCGATCTAACAGAGGATGTGGCTCTCGAGTATTTCTAATAGGTGATATATGATTTCTATCCTGACACGGTTTGGCCACCACTGGTCCATTCTATACCTTCGGTGTTTTTTGGTTCATTGGTTGTCAGTTGATAAAACATTTTTTTATTGAAAAGGGTCGTTTGACAAGACATGTTTTTATATTCTAACAAACGAATTTTCGATATTATAAAAATTTATTGTGAGATTTTGTATTATAAAATTGGCGTAACTACTGTAATTGATGGTGCGCGGTGTGTTATAAGAAATGATACATTGTTTTCATCTTCTATTATCAACCGTTTAGGATTAATGCGTCTTTGTAGAATTTTAATAGATTATAACTTTTAGTTCTGTGAAGAGATTGGTCCATGGACTCCGATTCCAGCAGAAATTAATTCTTTATGGCCGAGATGGACATTCCCGAATTGTAATAACACTTGTGGCAGGGGAAACGTGGTCGCTATTGCTTCGTTCCACGACCAAGTAACGTAAATAAAAATTCCGTTTCGGTGTCATGTATAAATGTACAGATCGTTCCAAACTCACGACATAATAGAAATAATAAAAAAAGCTACAGAAAAATTTTATAAGTACAAGCTTACAAACCCAATAAAAAATAAAACACTATTTTGAATTAGTCCAACGGTGAAAATTCGAAAGAAATACATGTCCTCATACGTAATAAACATACACAAATATAATTAACGAATATAGTTAACGAAAATAAATCGAAAATAAATAAAATGGTTCAACAATCGGTTACTATAATTACAATTCTACTAACGGAATTTCTTCTGGAAAACAAGTTTTTTTATCGAAGCTAATCAGCAATCAAAAATAAATACATTCTATAAGCTAATTTGATAGTTTGAATAGAGCTAGAAGTGATAAGCCACTTAAGTGACAGGATGAGGGCTCTTCTAATGAAGAGGCCTGTGTACTTCATTTGTGGTCAATAGGGAGACGTCTTTTCAATCTCCTGTCGATTTATACGTCTGATAGTGGCTACATCAATGGATTGCTGTGTGTCTCTAGTCTGTCATGGTGTTCGCTGCTACGCTTCTGAATTTCGTCAGTAATATATGAAATGTCTAGGTCGTTGTGGAGTGTGTCATTCGATACATACCATGGTGCATCTGTCATAGCTCTAAGTATTTTGGATTGAGACCTTCGGAGGATGGCTATACTTGTTTTACTGACACAGACCCACAGCTTTATGTATACCATAAGTTTATATGGGATTCATCACAGCTTTATATACTAGGATTTTGTTTTCCAAGGTTAAGTGAGAACTTCTTTCTAATAGCCAATATAACTCATTAAACTTTAGATGGTATGTTTCCTCTTTTTCATTATATGCCCTTTCCAGTTAATTATTTTACCTAAATTTTTCCTACATAGCGCACTGACGACGTTTCTGGTATTATTACATTATTGGTGGACATTAGTGGACATTGGCACTTTCTCAAAGAAAAAGATATTTGTGTGGATTTAGACTTATCTATTTTTATTTTCCATTTTTTCGTCCAGTCTTCTGAAAGGTTCAGATGGTGTTGTAGATGAGCTGATGCTGCTGCTGGGTTTTTATTAATAGATAATATCATTATACCGTCTCCAAAAAATTCAAGTTACTGTATCTGCAGTCGTAGGTAAATCTGATGTATACAGGGTGGGGCAATAATTATTATCACCTCAGATATCTTCGAAACTATAAGGTTCACAGAAATATTTGTCTAACCGAAATTGCACATTACAAATGGAGCCATGCGATGGCGTTAATAGTTCTTTTTCAGGTGAAGGTACTTTGGATATTTCAAGGTCACCTCCATTTTTTTAAATGGATCAGTATGTTTTTATTTCTGTAGAATGATAGAGGATCTCAAAACGAGTTCAACGACCTATACATAAGGTCGTTAAAGGTCATAGAAAGTAGAGAAAAGCGATAATGCTTACGGTTTCTTCACTGAAAATAAACACTGTTTGAAGGACACTTGAATAAGTTTGCAGAATAAAATAAATATGATAGGAGTAGTATCGTATCGGTCAATCGGGCACGATGTATCCGTCTGAAGAGCAAATCTATATGCTTCTTATTTATGGCGAATGTCAACAAAATTCTGTAAGGGCAGAAAACTTCTATGCTGAACGATATTCACATCGATCTCAGTCTTCGCGTCGAGCATTTAAAAATGTGTGTGACAAATTTAGGGAAACCGGTAGTTGAAGTGTCCGTAAAAGTGAACGCCGAAAGCGAGTGGCGAACGAAGAAAATAAAATCGGTGTGCTCGCAAGTGTGGCTACAAATTCTCATATTAGTTCGCGACAAATTGAACGCGAACCTGGCGTTAGTAAGAGGAGCGTACTTCGCATTTTGCACAGACACAAATTTCATCCGTACCATGTTAGTCTTCAGCAACAATTGCAGGGGAACAACTTCTTAAATCGCGTTGAATTTTGTCGATGGGCTAAACATCAGATCCAAAACAATGTGTCATTTCTTAATACCGTTTAATTTACTGATGAGGCAACATTCACAAGTCATGGGAATGTCAATTTGCATAACATACATTTATGGGCAGCGGAAAATCTACATTGGCTGCGGCAGGTTGAACACCAGAGACAATGGTCTGTGAATGTATGGTGCGGTATCACGGGTGACAAAATGATCGGTCCTTACTTTATCAATGAACATTTGAATGGCAACATCTACGCTAATTTTATCAAGGATACATTGGATCCTTTGTTAGAAGAATTGCCTTTATTTACACGACAAACCATGTGGTATCAACATGATGGATGCCCAGCTCACTATTCATTGATTGCGCGAAGGGAACTCAATGAAAAATTTCGAAGTCATTGGATTGGACGCGGCGGTCCAATATTATGGCCAGTTCGTTCACCAGACTTGACACCTCTAAATTTCTTTATATGGTTCATAAAAAAAAACCAGTGTTGCATTGATGGTGATAGTCGTCATTTTGAACACCTACTATGATCTTATATAATAGGTCGTTGAACTCGTTATAACTTCTGCCTCGATAATGGCACAAATTAAGTTTTCACGGGTATAGTACTCACGGTTAGACTTCACTACAGGGTGGTCTGGTCCTTAGAAACGCCAATAAACACCATACGTTCAAAGAATTAGAATTTTAGAAATTGTGCGATTGTGACAGACGCCGATGAAGCACACAAGATGGCTGCTCAAGTCACATTTTGTCGAATATCACACGATTTAGTTGTTTTCTCGTCAAAAGCTGACCAGACCACCCTGTACACCACTGTCACACTATCGTAGAAATCCGATTTTTGTTAATTTATCACTTGTGGAAGGCATAAGTTGGATTCTACGATTTGACGCGTTCAGATTCAGGAATATACAGTGGTCTAGTTCAAGGATTCTCCACTAACGGCGCTTATGGTATTTGTCAGTCACTTTGGCCATGTTATCACCGAGCATCGATAAAACAGAGGGAAGTCGGTACGTGTAACCTCGCAACACGTGCTGGATCGTATCAATTGTTTTGTTACGCTGTTGCCA